ACCAAACATGCCTGACACAAATTATTACCATATTATTTGGAAGGAAGTGGCTCTGTAAATGTATAGGAACAAAAGGTTAGACAAATCAATTCATTTCGGCGTTATAACACCGAAGTTTTGTAAATTGTTTCGCATTGTGTGACCGAACAAGCACTTCATTATGGGCTCCACTGGCTTTGTTGTAAAGCAAACTAAAATTATCCAATTGAACAGTAACATAATGTTAGGAAAAAAAATTGTATCCGATAATATGGCACTGGAGTAATTCAAATTGATTAGTATTATATTACCGAACAAGCCCAACACAAATTAAACAAACGTTGTCTAAGAGAAAGTGGCTCTGTAAATGTATAGCAACAAAATGTTGAAGGGATCTATTGTTTCCGGCAACTGAACACCGGAAAAATATGGGTGTAAAGAGATGGGTTTTGAAGATTTTTTTTACCTTAGGGTTTGTTTTGGTAATATATTGAGTGTAATGAGAATCTAATATTTTTTTAGTGGTGTAATGAGATGTAGAGTGTACAGAGGTAAAAGAGTGGTGTAAGTAGAATCACCCGAGAACGATCTCACTCCATAATAAAACTACCAAATAAGTCATCAAGACTTACCTCATTAGCAATCCAATTCTGCTCACTCCCCAAGACAGCCAAAAAAACATGGCCTAAGAGCATCTCTAACGGTAGTAGACATTTTACCTATCTAAATATTATTATAAAGTATATATTTTATTTTGCCTATCAACTGTTTTATGTTTTTACTCCAACCATACTCTTTATTTTAGCTATTTATCCAAATACTATTAATTTTATAGAATGCCACGTCAACAACAAAGATGGAGGGAAATAATCCTAATGATTGAATACATTTTGCCTAGTGTTGAAGGCTAGCTACATGTAGCTAGTGAATATGAGTTGAGTCAAAATGTCTAATCATATACCTAGTGCATTGGAATTGAAAAAAGTGAATCAAACTATGTATTTTAACTAACAAGTATTATATGCCTAGTGCATTAGAAATGCTCTAATAATGAGGGTTTTTAGTGAAGACCCAACCCGAAACACATGGGTTCCCCGTTTTCCACCTATAGGGTCGGGCCGGTGCCATTGAAATTTGAATCCCCATCGGGATGGGTACCGGCCCCATTTCTCCATGTGTTTTGAATCGGATACAGCTAGGGTTTTCCCTTCTGTTCTACGTCACTCTCTCTCACTCCTCCAGCACGCTGACCATGGTGATTCTCCGGCCTGGTGAGTTTCTCTCTCTTTTTCTTTTTTCTTTCTCTTTCAAATACTTAGTGTGGAATGTATCTATACAATATATATAAAGCACCGAGGTATAGTAAACAGTATTTTCTGCCTCGGATGAGCAGTAACCTCTCGGGTGTTGAAATATCTGTTTTGGCCATTGGTCTTTTTATTTTCTTTCCTTATTCTAAAGCTTAAAAACAGAACCAACAAAACACAAATAGAGAAAGAGAGAGAGACAGAAGAAATCGAAGGAGACGGAGGAGGAAGACCCATCCGTGACTACCGCCACTGTTGACATCCGCCCGCTTCAGCTAAGCAGCGAACGAGCTCTTGCACTTCTTCCTCCTGCCAGAGTTCTCACACTCCCCTCTCCTATCGTTCAGGTTCGTTTTTCAGAAGTTAGGATTTTCATACGTACAATATCTGATTTTTGTTTTTAATTTTTTTTCCTTCCCTATTCATCGTTTTTCTCTTCTTGTGAAAATAGTTTTTTTGGAACAGTTTTTGTGAGTTGCAAAAAACAGATTGAACCAGATTGAATTTGTCATTTTTTCCTCCTTTTTCGTTGAAGTTAGGGTTGTCTGCTTGTGAAATGCATTTTTTTTTTTTTTAACAATTGTTAAGTCTCCTAACAGTATATATAATACAATCTGATCTTGGGGTCAGATTGTGGTATGGTTAGAGCAGAAAAGCAGGGTTATGATGTTAGGATGGGTGTATAATTTGAATGATAACACTAAAGACAACCTAAAGACAGCACCAAGTAGATGTAAAATAAAATGAAGGGGAAAATAGTGAGATTGAAACATCATTGACAGCAACAAGAAAAGAACAGAGGCATAATATAACTTCAAAATATCAACAATATTTATTACCTGATCATGCAGAGAACGAAACTTGGATTGCCAGGAGATGACTTTCTAAATTTGCTATTAGGAGGGTAAACATCAAATAACTTCATCAATCCTTATATTATTGATTATCACTTCGATCTTTAGTGTGCCTTTACCATTACAATGAGGATAAGAGTGGAAAATTCAAAGAACATCATTACATCACTTACAGAGTCTCTTCAATTGAGCAATAGATCTTGCTGCTGCGGACTATTCCTATTGTTGTCCACATGCTACCCTTCTTCCCAACAACCTCAGCCATTCCCATCTCATCATCCCAATGGGCCCTGGAGCTAATCCACAGTTTCGAACCATATCTTCAGATTCAATCAAAGAAATTGATTTTTCTTCTACAGAGGGTCTTTGGAAGATGGATTTCTGAGTTTTGATACGGTAAATTTTGCGATTTTGTTATTTTTTTTCTTCCTTATTTGTTCTTTGTGTTGTTAAATGTTTGATTTCATTATGATTTTGTTGTGTGTTTTGGAGCTAATCCACAGTTTCGAACCATATCTTCAGATTCAATCAAAGAAATTGATTTTTCTTCTACAGAGGGTCTTTGGAAGATGGATTTCTGAGTTTTGATACGGTAAATTTTGCGATTTTGTTATTTTTTTTCTTCCTTATTTGTTCTTTGTGTTGTTAAATGTTTGATTTCATTATGATTTTGTTGTGTGTTTTGGAGCTAATCCACAGTTTCGAACCATATCTTCAGATTCAATCAAAGAAATTGATTTTTCTTCTACAGAGGGTCTTTGGAAGATGGATTTCTGAGTTTTGATACGGTAAATTTTGCGATTTTGTTATTTTTTTTCTTCCTTATTTGTTCTTTGTGTTGTTAAATGTTTGATTTCATTATGATTTTGTTGTGTGTTTTGGAGCTAATCCACAGTTTCGAACCATATCTTCAGATTCAATCAAAGAAATTGATTTTTCTTCTACAGAGGGTCTTTGGAAGATGGATTTCCGAGTTCTGATACGGTAAGTTTCGTTGTTTGTTTGTTTGTTTGTTTGTTTTTTTTTTAATTATATTCTTATTTGAAAATCAAAGTGTACAAAATAAAGTAAGTGCAGCAACGTTTTTGGGTAAGTTCTGATTTTTCTATCGTTCTTTTTATTATCGATTCCATTTTCTTTGGTTTCTATGATTACCATGATGTGTGGGTATTTTTATTTTGGGCATTCATCTAGGTATGACTCCTAAATTTTTGAGTTTTGTGTAGATCAATAACTTAATTTGTGTGATTCAGAAAAATATAAGGGTTTATTATTTAGCTTTGTAATTTTTGTCTATAATATTTTTTTTGGATTTTATATGTTGTTAAACTTTTAGGGTTTGTGCAAATAAAGAATTAAAAACTCAATTTGTGTGATTCAAAACTTTTTTGGTGTTTTCCTATTTGGCTTTGAAATGAATTTTGAAGATGTGTTTAATGCCAACGATTGAACTTTAAAACCCAATTCTAGCTCTGACAGACTAAACATATAATCAATATTGTGATGGAATTTAGTTCTTTAGGTTGAATATTGGAGATTTTGTTCTTTTCAAAGATAATATCCATTGGGTGTTTGAATTTTGTGCTTGAATTATTTGATAAAATACTTGGAAGACAAATTGCCACATAATCACTGATGTGGTCAAAAAGTAGTAGGTCAACTTAGTTCCCTTCACCAACAAGTATGTTCTTGCTAATTCTCTTATTGGAAAAGTTTTGTATTTTGTCTTATCTTTGATTTTTGAGGAATTGAATAGATTATTGATTTGTTGGTGCAATTATGTTTTTGTTACTTGCTTTGTTTGGTAGTTGTGCTTTGTCTTTGTTTTCATCTTCCTTCTTTGATCATGAACGGAGGTATTGTGAGAGTTTGCCTAAAAAATTAGAGAGTTTTCCTAAGAAAATTAAGGTTCTTGCCATCTTTCAGCTACTGTACATTATTTTATTTATTTATTTATTTTCATTAAAAGGAGGTCTGATTTTTAATTTTTCTTTGTCAACAATTTTTTTTGCTTGCTTCTTTTTCTATTTCTATTTTGAAGGGTTGTGTGGTGGTTGTGCTTTTGCTTTTTCTTCGTCTTCGTCTTCCTTGTTTGATCATAAATGGGAATTCTATGAGAGGTTGACTAACAAAGTTTGGGTTTTTGCTTTTTTTCCAGATCCTATACATTTTTTTTTTGTTGTTGCGTAAGGGGGTCTTGATTTTTATTTTTCTGCCTATTTTTCAATTTTGTTTCTCACAATTTTTTTGTGAAACTTGCTTCTGTTTTTGTTTCTATTCAGAAGGGTTGTGGGGTGGTTTTGCTTTGGCTTCATATTCCCTATGTTCATCAGCTAACAAATTGTGTCACTATATTTGTTTACATGTTCCATAAATGTCAACAATTTCTTAAGATCACTTTTAAACGTCGATTTGAATTGTTAAAGATCCAATCTTTTCTCTTCATTGCTTTTTTTTTTGGGGTTTGGAAATGGTTTTTGTTTGAGTTTCATTCATAAAAGAGAATTATACCACATTAGTATGAATCATGTTTTAATTTGATTGGGGGTTAGGGCCTTGGGCCACTATGGAGGGTTAAATAAAAATGTGAGGAAAACTACATATAGTCATTGGAGTCTTGGCCAATGGTTTGCTTCATATTTAGTGGTTTCATATTTCTTTGTGATGTGAGTTTGTAATAAGTTTTATAATTTCCTCTGTTACCTTTAGTAGATTTTGTTACTTGTTCATATTTTTTTCATTTGTGTATCATTTAAAAAACAAATTCTAGGTGTATAACAGCAATCATCTAGACATGGATATGCATTTCTTCTTTATTTGGTTATGTGTGCACAAATATGGGATTTAAGAGAGTTGTAGGCTAAGATTACACTTTCTCAGTCTCTATTGCAGGGAAATAATGGATTTTGTGACAACAATATAATTTACCAAATGTATAGGATTAACAAGATCAAGGTGAGTACCTTCTAATTTCTAGCTATCATAATTTCTGAAACCACAAATTAAAGGTAATTGTTACTTGATAATTTGCACACATAATATTTTAGATAATTGTTATAATGATCTCAAGCATTATATGTTCATTATTTCAACTTAGACAAAACAAAAATTGCATTGAATAAATTGTACAACAAAAAGTGTACCCTTTATGAAGTAGGCTACTCTTAAGCTAGAAAACAATTTGTTAATTTTAACAAACAAATGTTTGCATTTCAAATGATCAAGTCTAAACATTTGGTATAATTTCACAATTGCACTTTTGTTTTCATTTTTCTTATCTATCCCATGCATTTCTAATTATGTTTAAAATACATGTTTTGTTTTATATCTACATGTTGGGAGGTGGGAAAGATAAATGTGATGTTTGGAAGAAGTTATTTCACAATTGATTATTTTATTTTTTCTTCTACTAAATATCTTAAATTAATATGCAAACTCAGTAATACCGATTAAATTTTCATGCTTAATGTTGACTGCCCATTTATTTTTTTTGTTCTTTGTTTTTAAATTTTCATACCTAGGACTGTTGATGGGCTGTTACACTGGTGGACTGGTTTTGATCACAAAAAACTTGAATGAATGTGCTCAAAACATAGGGAATGAATGTGTATTTCAAAGTGTACAACCAAACTTTGCGTTAAGAGAACTGGGTGATTACATGAAAGGCCTGGCAACAGTTTAACTGCTTCTACTTGCTGTTTAAGCTTGGTTGTTGTGTGTTGCATTCATTGTTGGTATGAGTTGAATCCTTATCAACTCTGTTTGTATTTGTTTGTTTGCTGCTAAGAGTGCACATGATTGGTCCATCACTAGGTGCCAACACAGTTGGGATGAGGTGTTTTGGACAATGATGCAATTTTTTTCCCTCCTAGATCATTGTAATATATTCTCCCTTTCTTTTGCCGCTCAAAAACAAATCTGTGGAATAACCTTGGTTATGTTACTGTTAATCTTTTCAGCAACCATTATGAATTGTTTTTTCCCTCTTGCGAATATTTGAGTTCATTATGAACTTTTTCTTTTCTTTTTCATGGCTGAGCAAGTAAGCGAATCAAAACTACATGCCAAGCTAAGAAGGCTTCCGTCTGGAATGTAGTCAGTTCACTGTGAGGATCACCCTTCCAATTCTACGAGTGTGAAAAATGACCTTGGTTATTTTGTCACATTTCTTTTTTCTTTTTCGAGTCAATTCACCATGAGGATCACCCTTCTGAGTCTACAAGTGAAAAATGCCCATGGTTATTTTGTTACACTTATTTTTGAGTATTACCAGTTATGTTTATCTCTTGTGATATATTGAAATTTAGAGAGAAATTCTCTTGCAATTGTTTTCCACTAAACAGATAGCTCAATTCTAAGTTAGTTTATATGTACATAACGTTTTTCTCTCCGTATAATTTTCTACTCTAGACTTAATATGTTTATAAATTTCAGTTCTAAACACAAATGTAATGGGCACTAGCTGGTCTGGGCTGGGCTGGGCATTAGTTAGCGGCCCTTTAACTAGTATAATGAAGAAGCTCTGTAATCTGTAGAGATAAGCTTAAAAAATAACAGTCCTCTCTCCCTCTCTCTCCCTCTCTCTCTCTCTCTCTCTCTCTCTATTTATTAGGGTTTTCACTTTTTTGTGATCCAAATGTGAAAAGGTTGGTAATTTTTTATCCCCTGTTCTTCAATTCTTTTCCATGAATTGTTTCATTTCTATAACATGTGATTTATCTCTATATATATCAGTGTGATTGTCTCTAACAGTATATTTTGTTATTAGTTGGTTATATATATCGTCTGAATCTATTCTATTCTTTTCTCTTTTCATCTGTTTGGCTAAGAAACTTGTTTCCTTATCCACCATAACTTTGATTCACTTCTCATTGTTAAGGTTTGCCACGAAATTTCTTGAAACTTGTGTTTTTTGGGTTCATTTTGGTTCACAAAACTTGTTATTAGCTTTAATTGAAACCTCTATTTCTGGGTTAATTTCCTTTTGCTAGTTGGGTTTGTGGTTTCATGAAAGTTCAATACTTACAATACAATTGTTATAATTTGCAGAAGCACTTGTGCTAATAGATGATTACACTTGGGCCCATTTGGCTGGAGGGTTTTTTTTGAAGTTCCTAAACACACACACTCTCTCTCTCTCTCTCTCTCTCTAATATTATGCAAGTTGTGCACTTTTATGGGGGGTTCATATTCATGTGTAAAAGAGCATGTTCTATCAGCTAAGATTGAGACTGCCCTTCAAAAGTCTTTCATACAACTTACAAGTAAACATAGACACTACCCTTCGATTCTAAATGATTTATGGATCCCATTTTATTAGGGGAATAAGTTTATAAGATTATGATAATGAACAGTTCTACTGTTTAAAAAATAAAATCGGAAAAATATCGAGAAAATATATTGAAAGATTGAAATTGATTTCATGTGTGAGTGACACACTAATTTTCTGGTTCTGTTTCTTGTATCTGCTCCTGGGTTCATAGACTTTCTATATGATAATTCTAGGTGTAATTCTTTTACTGAGGTATATATTCATGTATAAATTCTGGTAATGTTATGCATGCATAAATTGCTGGCAAAATGTGTCACTTCAAAAAAAAAAATATAATGTTGTGGCTAAATAAGGATTGTAAACCAATTGAGTTGAATAACTCGAGTTCGACTTGCTATTTCTTTCCCTTTTTTTTTTTAACAATGTTTGGAAGTCATCTTCTCTGGTTTTTGTTGGTTTTTGGGGCTGCAAAACAAAAATAAATTGGTGGAAGTGGCTCTCTTCTCATGGGCTGAATTTGGTTCAAAGATTTGCTTGAAGTTGTTTATTAACTTTTAGATATATTGTACATGTGACTGCTATTATTTTATTATCATGCCTGTCCTTTTTAAAATCATTACTTTGGCATCTTTGGCAGGACAAGAATGCACAAAAGATTGCTGAGTTTCTCAATTTTTTGACAGGATCACTTGCACTCTCTAAGCACATTGTCGAGACTACCAAGTTTTTTAGCATAACTGTCAGTTGTGGTAATTATTCTTACCACTTAAGTCTGTACATGATTACTAAAATTCTTTATTGTTTGAAGGAATTTTTTATCTGATAATCTGGAAGCTTGATAGATACCTCAAGTATTTATTAATTCTTTAGAATTTGCTCTTTTATTAAAGTTATTAAATTTTCACTTGTGAAGTTGTTTAAGTGTTTAGAGATAAAATGTTATGGGAGCAAATTCTGCTTATCATTCTTTATGATTTTATTTAGAAAATTGAGAGTTTTACATGATCCTAATACCTTTTTCCTGTTCTTTGAGCGTATTTTACATGATTTGTCATCTTCTATGTGATTTTTCACCTCCGATCTTTCTTAGTATATTATGGCTTTATGTTCTCCAGAGCTTTTAAGGATTGAAGATGTCTGAAGCTGAAGCAAACTCTCAACTAGGCTTGAAATCCCGGTGAAGGTGAAGGTGAAGGTGAAGTGATTTAGATTTTTAGATACTTACACTCCTTTTTTGCCATGAGACAAAGCTTGGGAAGAATTTCAAGTCCCACCATCGGCAATGCCACCAAACACAATTTGATCGCCTTCTCCTCCTCTGCTTTTTCCACTTCTGCTGGTGGCGGTGGAGGCAGAGGTAGGGGACGAGGCTCCTCCAACTTCGAATTCACAGTTCCCACCACCACCACCCCCGCTCCGCCTACCCCTGGTGATGGTGATGGTGATGAAAATGATCCGAAAGGCTTCCCATCTGGGATGGGTCATGGCCGATGTAAACCCCTACTTGGTACCCCTATTCTTCCATCATTTTCTTCTTTCATCTCTTCCATTGTTAGTAGTAGTGGCAACAACAACACTACTACTGGACGTGGCAGAGCCTCTGCCCCTCCTTTGCAATCTGAGCATGAGCCTAAGAGACCCATTTTCTTTAGCAAAGAAGACGCGACTGATTTGACCACTCCCTCTAAAATCCAAATTGGAAATCCCCCAGACAGCAACCTCCCCTCCAGTATTTTATCTGTCCTGTCTGGTGCCGGCCGTGGAAAGCCCTCCGCTAAACAATTGTTTCTCGACGACATGCCTAAGGAAGAAAACTACCACCTTAGGTCCCGTCATACTGCTATAGGGAGAGGCCAAGTATCCATTGACACTAAGAGTAGTGCAACCCCAAAGTTGAGCCGTGGGGAGGCTGTGAAGAAGGCCGTGGGGATATTGTCGAGGGGCAGTGTTGATGTGGCAGACAGAGTGGAGGACGGTGGGACGGGAACAGGTAGTTTTAGAGGGAGAGGCACTCGCGGCGGTGGCCGAGGGAGGGGTTGGAGAGGCAGAGGGAGAGGCGCAGGAAGAGGAGGTCGTGGGGTTCAAGATGCGGACGATGACTACGGAGCCGGCCTTTATCTTGGTGACAATGCTGATGGTGAGAAATTGGCTAAGAGGATTGGACCCGAGAATATGAATAAATTGGTGGAAGGATTCGAAGAGATGAGCGGCAGTGTGTTGCCTTCTCCTATGGATGATGCCTACTTGGATGCTCTCCACACTAATTTCATGGTAAACCATATTTTATTTCTATATTAATTAGTACCGGACTAAGCAATTTTCGCTAATAGTTATCTGACATCTTACTTCTTCATATACTTTGTGGTTTTGAAGATTGAATGCGAACCAGAGTACTTGATGGAGGAGTTTGGTACAAACCCAGTTATTGACGAGAAGCCGCCCATTCCTCTTCGGGATGCACTTGAGAAGATGAAGCCATTCCTAATGGCTTATGAGGGAATTCAGAGCCAAGAAGAGTGGGAGGTATTCCTAAACCCTATTCTCCTATCCTATTTCTTATGTTGATTTTGTTTTTCTTTTGCGGCACTACATATTGGTTACTATTTACAACTTAACAGTTGCTGGTTCAAAAAATGCAATAGGTCATAATCATGTTTTTAAATGGTTGTTTTCTTATTCTTCGTTTTTTTATTTAAAAAATTACTGTGTTAGAACATGTAATGAACAATATCTTGTAATGCTAACACCCTTCTTGAGCTATATTTAGGTTTTTGTAACTCGTAATCGTGGTAATTTTTCTTGATATTTTCTCTGTTAGTTTTTCTTTGACCATCTTGCTTCTCTATTTTTGTCTAGTCAGTGCTGTATGTTTGATTTTATTTTGCCTATCATTTCCACTGGTATTTATAACCTAGTTAGTGTTGTCTCTATAACATACATTACATCCTGATCAATCTCTCTTTTCTTGTGATATTCGGTTGACTAAGCTAGGAAATTGTGCTTGTAAAGGACAAATGATTAGCAACCTTTTGTTTTAGGCATGTTTTTCCAACAAGAAACAGTGTTCTGGGAGAGATTTTTTCGGTGACGATTAGCATCTATAAACTTAACCGTATTAGTGTCTATGCTTAAACTATGGACCCTAATTACTGTCTTGGTTGGGCTCATTGAACTTTTTGGTTGCACTCAATTCAAAGAGACATTGAAACAAAGAAACACCTCTAATGCACAATGTTAACAAATCTAGAAATAAATTTTCTAAGACCTGGGTTCTTTTTTGTTGGACCAAGCACAAGCCCAAAGAAACGACCATGTGAAACATTCCCAATAACCACATCTTCTGCTCCCCTTTCTATAGTCTTGTAAATAAAAGCATCTTTAGTTAGCAAAGTAGTCCTGCTTTCTTTTCTTTTAAATAGCTGATAACATTGCAGCTAAAACTACTTTGTTATGGAAAATCTTCTATGCCATGTGGTTGGCATTACAAACTAGCCACAATTTTCCTCCATGGGTCTGTTTGGTGCGGCTTATCTGAGCTGCTTATAGCATTTTTCTTTTTTTATTCTGTATTCTAGGGGTCTGTGTCAGAATGTTTCATGCAGTTTTTTGCTTAGAACTTATTAAGCAGAAATAACTTAAATACGCTAAAAAAAGCTAATTATATGAAAGTTGGGGGAGGGGTGCTTTTAGTCTTTGCTTTCTAATCATTAGCTTTTAGATTACAATAAGCTTCACCAGACATGTATGTTGGGCTTAGACTGATCAATCACAAAGAAAGGAATGATTTTCCTAAAATATTGTACGAGAATGCTGAAAAGAAATGGTTGACTGGTTTTAAATGTGATTTGAAGAGCTTGCATTATAGAATTGTTTCAACTCTCAAGATTATGTTCACAGCTGCAAACTAGAAAAGGAATGTTACTTAGTTTCTTCATCACCATTATTCAATACTTGATGCTGCATTCGTCTGTATTTTCTTTAGGGGGATTTGGTCATAGCCCCCTCACTATCTAATTTCTCTTTCAAAAGGACAAGAATTATATAAATACTTTCAAAACCCCCTGATATTTTAAAACTTGTTTCTTTTACTATATTACCCTCATATCTATCAGCTCTCCTATTAAGACATTTTCATTATGTATTTCAGAGTAAAATTTTACTTTCAAAAATTTTACTCTGTATGAAAGTAAAATTTTACTCTGTATAAAAGTAAAATTTTACTCTGAAAAATAAGTAAACTGTAAGACTCTGAAGCTAAAAGTAAAATTTTACTCTGTATAAAAGTAAAATTTTACTTTGGTTCTGTCAAATGAAAAAAACAGAGCAATAGAACCAGAGTAAAATTTCAAATGAAATTTGATGTTTACTCTGAAAAATCGATGGAACTTAGAGCTTTGAGCTTTGAATCAGGCCTATAATCCTTGAATCAATCGATGTTTACTTTGAAAAACATTGAATCATGCCTATAATCCTTGAATCAGGCCTATAATCTGAAAATTTTAGAGAAATCTCAATTTTTCATACCCCGGTTTTTTAGATTTTTCAGATTTTACAGATTTTTCAGATTTTTAAAACTTTGAGCTTTCAAAAATCTATATATTCGAATTCAAATCTCAAAACACACAAACACACACACACACATATATATATATATATTACAGATCGGAATATGTAGATATATATATATATATATATTCGAATTCAAATCTCAAAACACACAAAAACACACATATATATAGATATATATATATATGTATCAGCGCGATTTGCAAGTTCTCTACAGCTCCGGCCATGGAGGAAGTTAGGATTAGAAGAGAGAGACGAGATAGAAGATGAACAGTTGAAGGAGAGTTGAAGGAGGAGAGTTGAGAAGATGCAGAGAGAGATCGTCGGAGCTTAGGAATGACACAGCTCCGGCCATGGAGGAAGCTAGGGTTAGAAGTGAGAGACGAGAGAGAAGATAAATTTTGGCGACCAAGGATCCGAATTCGAGGGTATAATAGTCTGATAAAATATTTAAATAATAAATTTTGTCCTTTATGCAAGATTTTATAATTATGAGGGGATTTAAAAAGTATAATTTTTTTCTTAGTCCTTCTAACAATGAAAGGAAGGTAAAGGGGGTTTATAGCCAAATTTCCCTTTTCTTTATCGTCCTGTGTACAATTTGTTACTGGTTCATCACTGCTGTGTTCATTCTCCTTTATTACAACAGTAATGGAACTTGTTGGGTCAGTGCCACCTTAATCCATAATCAAAGCATGTCATTATTTCTAGTCTTTATGTTGTGGCACATGCAATGACTTTTGACATCTTATAATTTAGAAACTTTAAGTTGTTTTTGATATTTTTTCTTTTTTCCTTTTTTCTGCATGCAACCTTGAGTTATGCAAGGTCATTTTTTTCTTGCTTGCTGATTAACTACATAATGTGATTGTATTGTCTCTCCCGACTTTAAGGTCACAACATTGGGAGACATATGATTATGCTTGTTTCATCACAAAAATTTAGTCATTTCACCTATTTTTTTCTTTTTGATTATTTATAGCTGGATTTTGATTATTTGGAGATATGATCTCATTCGGTAGCACTTCGTTATTTATAAGGTGTCTTGGTTTTCGATGCTCCAAAGAGGCAATAATATTCTAGATTTCCTCCAGCTAAATAGGACGACCTAGTGCACGTGACTCCTACTAAAGCAAGGTTGGGGAAGGGCAAGATGTACACAACATGTCTCCCATATTTCTAGAAATGCTGTTTCTAGGGATGGGATAGGATTTTCTTCAGCTATGCTCAATATTACTTTTCCTGATTATAGCTGGATTTGGATTGTTATGGTTGATTCTCCACTCCATATTGATGGTGTGGTTGTTAAAATCACGATTCGGTGTAATCCTAGAACTCTTCATAGAACCAAACTTGCAACCTCTCCCTACTTTTAAAATACTTCAATAAAGTGGCAATTTCATAGAAAGAGCTTTCTCAGCTTCTGACATTGATTTCCATTGGACTCTACCAGCTTTACCAATAACAACATATTTAATCTCCGGATGCATCTGATTTGAACATTTTTCCATGAAGATTAAATAAAGCACTAACAGAGGATTCTTCGGTAAAATTTTCCCTCCAAAATGGGGCTGCTCCAACCCATTAGGAGGCTTCACCACTCTATTATCCCCTACCAAACACCCATCCTTGATCTCCTTTCCGCGCTGCCCCACTAAAGCTTCCCTTACCTTCTTTCCATTGTAATCAATTATACATTAAAATTTTTTAAATTTCTTGTTTTTCCTAGCAGATGATTTTCCCTTCCCTTATTCATCTAAACCGTATAGCTCTTGATTTATCATTGTCAATGCAAGTACAATCATGGATCTTCCTATCCATCTTCCTAACCATTAGTTCAAATTGTACTTGACTTAGGTTACCACCTTTATCATTAGTGAGGGTAAATTTCTTAAATTTACCAGTGTTCTTATCAATTGTTGTGAGAACTAAAGACCCATTATCATCAGTTTGAAGTGAACCCTTAGAAACAAAATACTTCCTTTACCAGACCCTATCTTAAACACTGATGGGACCTACAAAATGGATTATCATTTGAATCGTCAAGGCTCTCCACCTCAACTCCACATGGAGGAATCACAGCCAAAGGAGACGCCACAGGTTGCATTTCCACGATAGAATTAAGCTTAACCACAACCTTCTTATAATCTAAACCTCCCTCCAAGGAATGTGAGTACTTTTAACAAACCCAATGTCACCCTACTGAAGCAACTTCAACACTTTATGTAAATCTAATAAATCCTCTTCCTTTAAACCTACATCAACCGCAACATCTTACCAAGCTTTTACCTCATCGTGACCTCCTACCTAAAAGAACCGTTCCAATAGAAAAATTGCCACCCTTGTCTGAAGAAGCCGTCATAGGGTTCCTTACAACCTCTGAAGTAGATGAAACCCTCCTTAGGATATAAAGGTTGAAAAACACTTGAAACTCTCTCAAGAACTCATAGGGCTACTCAAACTCAGAGGCATGAGCCCTTAAAATATATTAGGTCATTTCTATGAGCATAGACACGGCAAAATCAGTGCCGTAGAGGTGCTGGACATAGGAACACACCGGGGACATGCCACGGACTAGTACGGGACAAGCCATTTACGGTGTCCCTTATTTTTTTATTATTTTTTTGTGTTTTTAGTGTGGGACACGGCAGGGACAAAAGAAGAGACCTAATTTTAAAATCAGAAGAAAAAAAAGAGGGAAGAGAAAATTGAACCTGTTGGTTGATTGAAGTCCGAAGTCGATCTCCATCTTCATCAAGCTCCATCTCAGTTGATCTCCATCCTGGTAAGCCTCTCGTCTCTGGGCCTCTCGCCTCTTGTCTCTCTCTCTCCATCTTCTCGCCTTTCGTCTTCTCATCTGTAGTCGCGATCGATCAAAGAACTCCATCCAGTGTCTCTCTCTCAATGCTCGCTCTAGCTCTCTCTCACCTCGCAATCGATATTGATGAGCTCGTCAC